TCACAATGTCAACCTCCGTTTATGTAAAGGTACCCTTTACCATTGAATCGAGTATACTAGTCAATTGAAAATATATTTTTGTAGTGGTAGACACACTAAAGTACTCCCCCACCAGAATTATAGCAGTGATAGACTCCGATGAACGGATACCACTAGTTGACTCACTGCTGTTTTGTAAGAAGCCAGGAGAGCTGTATTAAAATCACTGTATTTATGAGTGCTGAACGTGAGAGCTGTAATAAGTTCACGCTCGTGATCACTCCTGTGTTGCGTTTAGCAGTTGAGTGAATACGATGTGTATGATCGAGACTGAGTAGCAACAGCACGAGGTGAATAATGTCGCAGTTATAAGTAGCAAGCCAACTGTTCCATGTGGACCAGCCATCGAAGTTCAGATCAAAATGGGCATAACTGTGAAGATAGGCGTGTTCATATCGAGGTGGGAGTTTCTGCCAAGGTAGGCATGTTCGCATCACGTCCGGGTCACCAATGTGGGGAGAGTTATCAACAATGTAAATCTTTGTCTATGTACAGGTACCCCACCATTGAATCGAGTTAACATGTCTTATATACTAGTGAATTGGGAAAAACTACAACATTTCAAGTCGTGGGCTACAAAAAAAGAGAGAAAAAAAGAAAAAAAAACAGCATCTGTTTGTGATTGGGTTTTGATTACAGCAGGGGTGATTGTGAGCTCAAGTCAAAATTCCGGAAAATTTCTTGAGTTAAAAAAAAAGTTTAAATTGAAAAAAATTTAAACAAGGTTTTCTTCCTATTTCTCAATATTTCTTAGTTTACTTAAAATGTTTTTAAAATTTTACACATACCCATGATGATCTGGAGAAGTAATTAAAATTTACAAATATGTCTTTCTTTCTTGAGTTTATGATTATAACAACTATTTACTGATAAAAAATGAATATTAATCATGAATATAAGGTTATAAAGTATATCTCTGGCTCTCCCTTACAAACAAATAAAATAAACTGTGTTTTTAAGTTCCACCTTTGAAAATTTGATTTCCGGAAACTTCTGGATCACTGTTAGCGAAAAGTCCGGAAATCCGTATTTTTTCCGGAGCACAAGCCAAAAATTCCTTCAATATTTATATTAAAATTGACAGCTAAGACAGTCCTTATAAATAATTTAATCAGAAAAAGAACATAAAAATTCACATCAGTGAAAATAAATAAAAAAAAAGTATCTAGTAAACAATATGTTCCTAAATTATGATTTTTTTTTTTTTTGGAATGCTCTTGTTAGCTTTACAACTCTTTGTTTGGAAATATGAAGTTGTAGTTTATTTAATCGAAAAGTGTACAAACATGAAAAACAACTCCTGAATAGTAAAAATGCAACAGAAGACAATTATAATTAAACAAATAATTTTATTAAATAATTCCATACATTAAAATTTGCAGAAAGCTGACAAAAAAACAGCTTAATAAGTGCTCCTATGAAAATTTATATAGAGACATTACAAAATACCAGATAATGGCACTTCACAAAAAGTGACATTTTCAATAGGGAGCTTATGTTCTAAAAGTGTATATATTTATATATATATATTCTCTATACAAGTATATACAGAAACGTAAGTGGCACCGATAAGAAGGGGGAAAAAAGAGTAATTGATACCAGATTGTCAGCAATTTTTAAGCAATATTGCACAATAACAATATTCATATACAATATTGCACTTTCAAATCTTTTTTTTTTTTTTTTTTTAAATTGAAAATTAGGGTTGGCAAGTCATAATAATAAATAAATAAATGCAGTCAAACCCTGCTATAGAGAACATTCAAGGGACCGAAATTTAGGTTCACTATAACTATATCCATTCCGTAAACAATTTTGACTAATCTTTTCAAACTCCCCCCTTTTATTACACATTATTTAAATAAATGACCCATAAAATGAAATAAAAATAAATGACAGAAAAATAATATGTAGAAACAAAAATGAGTTAACTTCAATTTTTTTTATTACTTGCATACAAAAAAAATTTGTGATTTTTAGCTAATAAGCAATCCTCAACATCAGATATGGAAACACTTTCAACTGATAATTTCTCATGAATTCTTGCTATTCCGATTTTTAAGCCTAGTCATTCGAGCACATAAAAGTAGTCCCAGCAAATCGCTTAGCAAATTCATCCACTTTGACTTGAAGCATTTGTCCAGATACTGGAAGATTGCTGAACCATTTTAATAATGAAGGAAACAAGAAAAAATGCTTATTGCTACATTTCATGACGGTTTAAAAAATCGGTATGTGTTTTTACTTTGAAGTAGAAGTTTCAAAATTATTATGAATATGTGTTATAAATGAAGAAAATAAATCAGTCAAAGACAGAAAATAGTTCATAATATCCGACTTCCTCTTTTTCTTTGGTTCACTATATCCGCAAAAAATAACATTATACTCGGGTAGCGAGGCACGGGAGCGAACATTTCGTTCACTATAAACCATGTTCACTGTAGCAGGGTTTGATTGTAATAAAAATAGTTAAAAAAAAAAACAGCACTCTGAATAATTTTTGATCAAAACTATATGACATAATGGTTATTATTTAAAAACAATACTATAATGAAAGAACATAAAATTTCTGGTTAAAATTATTATATAATGACTACAAACTAATCATCAACATGCTCCTAAATTTGTGAAGGCAACTATTTTAGAAATGAGATATCCAATGAAACATTTAGATTAGGAAAACCAATATTACATCAGGATATGCTTCATTCAAATTAATAGTTTATTAAAAAAAAAAAAAAAAATCCAGAATTTTTTTTTCAAGAAGATTTATTAAAGAACCAAATAAATAATGAATATGTGAAGATAAATAATTTTGACAAAATTAACGCACTTTAAAACATGAAGACACATTCGTCACAGAGATGGTACGCTTTAAATATGAAAGTGTAAAGCCTTAGAAGAATGTTTAGGAATCTCTTTAAATGATTTCAAAAGAAGCTACATTTGACGAATCTATTTCTAACTGGTAAATTCATTTTAAATTTTATGGACAACAGTGAGATGATAAGTGTTAAAGTATAAAAATTTGATACACGTGCAGATTACTTAAAGTGGATAAAGACAATCAAGCGAGGTTGTATTTTAAGAATAAAAAAAAAAATAGTTACAAATTTTTTTTTTAGTATGACACATGATGACTATATTCTTATGGGGTGAAATGGAGATTCACAATTCTTGAGCAGAATAATTTTCTCACAGGCAGATCTTTTCATTTTAAATACTCTACCGTATTTTGAGAAATGCCTTAGATTAATATAATTTCTTTAAAAAACAGTTTATTGATGAGTGACTACATTGCTTTGATTGGTCTGTAACAAAACTTTCTTATTTTTCCCTATACTCAGCGCTAATAACAAATTCTGCAGACTTTAATTCATCAAAACTTACCAAATTAGTCAAAAACAATTTCAATGGTCAGATCGAACAAATATTGCTCGCCTGAGACTGCAAAAAAACATTAAATTCAATGCATATTTTTGATCTAAACTAAGACTGAGCTTTAAGGGGACTTATTCTTTTTTTCGAGCTTAAAAACTTGGAGATTCATAATGATCAGTCAATGATGGTAAAAAAGTACTTTTAAGTTTCACAGAAAGAAAAAAAATAAATACATGTTTCAATATTTCGAGATTAAGATGAGAATTCAACACGGAAAACAAATAGTTAAATATTTACTTCGATGACAGAAAGGAATTAGGCAAAAACTTAAGACTGACACGCAACATGATTAGGAATATATGTATTTATAAAAACAGTGCAATTTCAACTTTTATTTCAAAAATTTAAAAAGACACTTATTTCAAGGACTCAATAATTCTTATTCATAAACTTTAGTACAGTTCATGGAATTTTCTAATACAGCAGTTGCCAACCTTTTTTCTTAGTTGAGCAGATCTACAATTTTGTAAAAAAAAAATTTTTTTTTGAGGCTTGCTAACTATATAATATGCAAATATGTTAGTGATGTGGCTAGGGTCGATACAGCAGACCCAAAAACTGGCATCTCTGCTTCTGATGAGCGTCAGTATTTTAATACTCGAGGCGATTCTACAAACCATAATTCTTAATCTCCATTTGCAATTCCGAAATTTCTATAATGAACTTCTTAGATTATTTGTTTATTATTTTCTTAGAGGTTAAGACAGGGTATCTGCTACATTTTAGATTTTCAAATTCATGACTTAACAAACTTACTATTTTCTTCGGCAAAAAAGCAACAATAAATTTAAAAAAAAGCATCATAATAACATTCATTGAAATGATAGGTAAAACCAAAACTGTTATCCTCTGTATCTTCATATTTGTAGATTTTAAATTTAAAAAACAGAGTAAAGAAAGAGTTGAAGCCATAAAATAGCTGGAAAAAAAATACAAAAGCAAATTTTTTTTTCTTTTTTGCTGCAGAATTGTATTCTAAAGATGCTTTTCCGGGAAAGGAAAGAAATACTCCCGATTTTTCTGTTCTCATTTCGGAATTTTTAAAAAAAAATTCGCCAATGACTGTCTTGCTTCAGCTAGAATTTGAAATTGATAAAATAAAAATAACAATAAATATTTAGAAATCACAAAAGTTTAAAAGATAATTCGCTCTAGAAATGATGTTTTTTATTTCATTTTTTGAAAGAACACCATCATTTTTAAAGAACATGATAAAAACATTTTATATTTTAATAATATATGACTGTGAGTGGGGGTTTTGTTAGAAATTCACATACTTGGAACACCATGAAATTGGGGGGGGGGGGGGGGGNTTCTATTTTAAAAATTAGATTCTTCGGCGACCTAAATCCATGACATTCCATGATTTTTTTAATAGTTTAAATCATGACAAATTTTGTTTAATGCCTAAATTCATGACTTTCCTCGATTTATCATGACTGCGCAGATACCCTGTAAACATTATACAAATGGCCAGTTGCAAAATTTCAAATATTAAACACCATTAGTGAATATTTGACAGTCTTTTACGGTAACATATATTCCAAACAAATCCATTTCTGTAATAAATTAATCAGTTTTGTAGACTTACAATATACACAATTGGAAGGGAGCATTTAAAGTTTCAAATAAATACCATATTTACAATATAATTAATTACATAACTTTTCAGTAAAAGAATTTTGATTATGTTAAAAAAAAATAGTAAACAATTGTGATTAGTAGTGGGAGGTAGTATGCATATTTTACAAGTAATGCCCAAAAAAGACAAAAGAAGATGAATATATTATTTCAAATAAATAAAAGAACATGTGCTAGTATTTCATTTTCTTCATACAAATAATATGTTGAGTTACCTATGAAGCTCATGGTTATTTTTCAGTATATGGCACACAACGCGTCCTTCATCTTCATCAAAAATAAATAAATAAAAATGACACTCTTTCACATGGAAGTTGTGAGACTCTAAAAAATTAAAAATGAAGTTTTTGTCAGTAAAGGATATTTCAAAGTGAAAGAACAGTTATGAGTTGATGTACAGTCCGCAAAAAAAAAAAAAAAAAAAAAAAAAAAAAAAAAAAAAAAAAAAAAAAAAAAAAAAAAAAAAAAAAAAAAAAAAAAAAAAANGCAACAAAACAAATTATAAATGGTGACCAAATATTTAACTTTCTTGTTAGAAGTAAATCATGCCTTTTTATTTAGTACTCAGGAAAATACCTAATGGGATGAAAAACCTAGGTGGGCTGTGATTTTTCAAACTCTGTTTCTTACAAATCTGTTTAGTTTTTAGTACAATCATGAATTTTAAAAAATTCTACTGCTTTCTATAAATGTACAGTTACTTATTACACATTGAATTATTAAACAAATTTATTTAATTAGAGATTTTAGGAAATAGTTTTCGTTATGGATTCTAGTTCAATTTTTTTTCTTCTGATACTTCTGTTCTTAGCGTTTTACTTAATCCCTATATGCAGATGCATTACTAGTAGAACTTAATTTCTTGAATTCTGTCAATTTTGAAGGTTAATGTGGGTCTTCTACTTAGGTACCTTAAAACTCCCCCCCCCCAAAAAAAAGAGCACTATCTCTTCCATGTGCAGTATTCCCCTTGTCCACACTATTCTTTTCTTTTAGAATGCTTCACTCTCCTCATAGAGTGTCATTCTAGGCAAAGGGCAGAATATATTAATGAAAGAATATATATAAATGAAAGGATATGTTTTCTTATCATTGCCTGTAGCTCCCCCCCCCTTTACACACATAAATTTTTGTCTCTCTCTAAAATGCTTTACCCTCCATGCATGGTCTAATTCTAAGCGATAAAAGAAAAATTGAACTGAAAAATTGTTTCTATCAACCATAGTGATGCTAAAAAATTAAGGACTTTTAAAAACCTAGAACCAAAATTAAGTACTTTTAAGGGCCCTTATTTCTAAAATAAAAATTAAGCAATTTTTAAAGACTTTTAAGGACCATACGAACACTGCATTAACAAAGTTGAAACAAGTGCAATTTTAATACTTAATTCTACATTGGTATATAATTAATATTAATACTATTATGCATAAATTAACTGTTAAATAAATAAAAAAATACACTTAAGTGATATCGAATATTGCAAACAAAAACTCTTGAGAGCTAAGGAAGATTATTTTAAAAGATTATAAAAGCAGTTAATTTTTATTACTCAACCATATAACTACATAATAATTTCAGAATAATATTCAGTATCAAATCTTACCTCTTCTAAAGAGTGGTTATTTAGACTTTCAGTGGGTGACATATTTGTTGCGAGGGAGTCGCTAGAGAGCAGGCTGTCGCTTCTTTCGGCTCGCTTGTGACGGGGCGGATCCGCTTCTGGAGAGTCTCCTGCCGTACTCATGTCCGTATAAAAACCACTCTCTGTCAGTAAAGAAGAAAGATTGCATTCATATTACAGCAGAAGAACAAAAATTTTGAAACAAGAATTATATCAATCATAATGCCTATCTTGAGATCTGAAACAGCTTTTAAATAACTACATAGCTGCAGACATACGTAGGGAAAAAATTCTGGTAGATTTTACGAAATATGAATTTCACGCTAATTATTGCTTAATATACTAACTATTTTACACATAGGGAATTTTAGGGATTTCTATAGTCATCAAAAAACTGCAATATTTTCCAGTCATGATTGGCATTAATAGGCTTGAAATGTTGTGTATTATGTTTAATCATAATTTTGAATAGTAATAGGCACTTCATTCATAAAAAATATTTAAGATTTGATTTTTTAATTCATTTAAAAAGGGAGTTCTCAAAAAAAAAGTTTGAAACTGATTTCTATACCCTAGTCTCACTTCATTATATGTTAGTAATATTTATTTAAATATTCAAACAAGCAAAAACTCTATTTCAATAGGGATTTTTTTTTTTTTTTTTGAAAAACTGACTCAATTTTAGGGAATTTTTCAAAATTTACAAAAACTCGGAGAATTTTCTATTAAACCAGTAGACCAGGAGAAACTAGCAAAATCCAGTTGTCTACTGGAAAATCCAGTAGAGTTGGCAGCTATGTAACTACAAATACCCATTGAAATTTAATCGCTGCCACTTAGACAGGACTTATAGACAGGTTTTTTATATCATGTTTTTAAACGTATGTATTTAATACAGGTTATTATGTACAATATTTGCTTTTCAATAAAGTTTACTCACCAACCAATGTCTTAACACTATTTTAACAAAATTCCAGAGTTTTTTATTTTTTCCTTTTGTTATGAAGAGTTTTGAGAGTAGAATAACAGTTCAGGACAAATTTGATTTTATTTTCATTCAAGATAAACAGATTTAGGATAAATTTGGTTAAAGAGGTCAATTTGGCCGATTTAACTGCTTTATTTAAACTTAATTTATTGCACTTAATTTTTATCACCTTTCATTAGGCTAAATATACTACTTAAAATTGTTACGTCGAATATTTTTATAAAACATTTTATAGTACAAAAAATACAATTATGAAAACAAAAATTTAAAATTTTTAACGAAGATCTTTCATACATAGGCAACTTATAGGTGCTATCAGAAATTATTTTGTTTCATAATGTAATATAAATAAAATGGTCTAAAACAAATTTTCAATGTTGTTAGCATAGTCTTATTAGCCAGAAAATTACATGGAATGTTTTTTTTAATTAAAAACATCTAGATTTTGTGAATTGTCATGAGCATAAAATTAAAAAATAAATATGTATAGGTATTTATTAACTAGAATTATTTATTTATTCATTATTTAAAGGTAATATTTATCATCCCTTCTCAATATCATTCTCTACTGCTATTATATGATTATTATTATTCTAAGTTAAAAGCTTAAAACTAAAAGTGTAATTATTTTAACGTAATTCTGTAATATTACATTATGCACACAATATTTTATGAAAAACATATCAGGATTAAAATTAAGTTTAAAAATAAAAAAAGGGTATATTTAAAACAAAAGTTAATATATTATTTTATAAAACAAATTAATTAAAACATTAGGAGTATTTCATAAAGACTTTCTAACTATTAATAAATATTATTCAACAACAACTGAAAAAGAATAACTCAGGAGTGGAGAAAATTCTCAGAGCCTAATAATTCCTCAGAACATAGATTTCTTTTTTGAAATTTCCCTTAAAATTATCGTGCCTTATTTTCTAAACTTTATAAATTAAAGTTTTAAAGAAATAATTACATAGAATGCAGTTCAATAATTTCCCTTGAAATTATTGTGAATTTTTTATAAAGTTCAGAAATTAAAGTTTTGTTAAAAAAATTAAATAATACAATGACAAAACAATAATATACGATACACAATATAATACAAGCGATAATACAATAATACAAAATAATACAATTTTTTACACAATTCTTGAATAAATTGGCATGTGTGTTAAAAGCAATATCAATCAAAATATTGGCTTAATGAGTACAAACCATAAATGAGCAAGTTGACATTTAAAGTTATTTGTATTCTGTTTAATATTAAAGAAAAAAAAATTTTTTTTCTTTCTTAATATGGCATAAAAGTTACTAAAAAAAATTATGTTCAGTCAAACAATGAAAATGTATACTTTAACATTTAAATGATGTCACCTTTCCAATGGTTTATTTAACTTAATACTGAATTTTTAATTTAAGATTTATCAATAGGCAGGAAATGAAGTAGTCTAATTTCTATAAGATAAAAACACCCAAAAGCTATTTCTCCTTATGCATGCTATTAATGATCTGATGAAAATGATATTTTTGACCATGTCTCAGAACTCTCTTAAAAGGGTTTTACAAATTGGCATTTCATGAAATAATCTGTTATCATTACGCAGACATTTAATTTCTGGATTTCAAAATTATGAGAAAATTTAAAGAAATTTACTGGCTAGATAGTTTTACTTTCAAATGAAATTTTTTCTTCTTCTATGTACAGTTACTTTTTTTGAGTTTGATTTTCTTGCAATAAATGAAAAGAATTGGAGATCAAAGATAAATCGGAAGTCATTATGGAAAAAACTTGCAGAAGAAGGCATTGGCCCACATAGGGCTGTCTGGCCAACTATGATGATGCAGTTATTTTAAAACAAAATTTTTTTCTGACATATCTCTTAAATAGTTTACCATGGAAACTTTGTTTCTGTTTTTAATAAAAGTTAATAATTCTGCGACTATTTTGGCTTTCAGTTAATAATTGAGTGTGAAATGAAGTTTGCCCAATAAAATAACATTGTTTTAAAAACCATCTGTTTTAATAACCATGGATAAAAGCATTGACAAAACCACATGGATTCAGTGGGGAATCATGACTAACCGAGAAAAGCAAGACTCCAAGTGGATTTGATACGTTGTTGATCGAAATTCACCTAAATTATTGTCAATCTTTAATTGAAGAAGGATGTTTTTTTTTACCTAAAAAAACCTATTATGCAGAAATTTTTTTTTTCAGGATTTGCCGAAATCACAGCGATTCCCGATGTATGACTTACTACTGCACATATATGTATGTATCAATATTATGGGTGATATTTTTGCTGTTTGAAAAACAAATTAGCAGGATTGTAATAAAGGCTGAAATCTGTGGCAAACACAAGAATAACCAATTCCCCAGAAAGAGGTCAATGGCAAGGCCAGATTTATGAAAATCTCCAGATGTAATTATTTAAATGTGCAACTCAAATTTCAAGTGTTGTAATAATATTGTTTGAAAAATAGATTGTAAAAAAAATAAATTAATTCAACAAAAAAAAAAAAAAAAAAAAAAAAAAAAAAAAAAAAAACATAAGAAATTTTGTAGAAATATCTGCCAAAAAAATTATCTAAACTCTGTGTAGGCTTGCAATGAAATTGGCACAAATTGAGTGCACCAAGACCTTACTCAAACTGGTTAGAAGTTATAAATTTTGCACACTGTGCGTTAGAAATACTGTAGTTCAGTCATGTTTTTTGTGGGGAAAATTTTGCAAAGGAACTTTTTTTTACAATAAAATTTTTTACATTGTTATTTATTTATTTTTTTTAATTCTCTAAATTAGATCAAAAATTCCCCCAGGAGTGTCTGGATATTTCCTAAAACTTTGTTCACACGATTGGATATATTCTGAAAAAACAGATTTTAATTTTATTTGTATTACTTGCAACACTACGAAACATGCAAATAAAAATTCAACATCTAATTATTGTATTAGTAATGCATGCAAAAGAGTAAATCATATCATACTTTAACATTATTTAATGCTATAACATTATAAATATACTTTATAAGAATAACACTAATTTTTTTGCAATTAAATGTAAAGAGAGCACTTGAGGTAATATATTTTAGCAATTAAGAAAGTATCATTGAAAATAGAATGGACTAAAAAAGACTAAATTGGCTGCATACATGTGTTCACATAAAATAATATTTTAGAACTAATGATTTAATGATAAATAAAACAGGGTTCCCACTCAATTTCAGAAAAAAAAAATTTAACTTTTCCAGGTATACCAGTTAAATTGTAATGATAATTGAGACCCTATTTTCACCAGAAAATTTTGATTCTTTTATTTGTAATGTGAAATGTTAGATTTTCTGTGCAAGAAAACATTATAACATGAGAATGGATGGTTTGATTAAAATGTGAAATTTTCGCAACAAAGAATTGTAACAGATGTTAGAAATATTCAACTTGAATCTCAATAACCGAATACTGTTACTGACTATTTTAAGAATATATAACTAAATACTGTTACTGATTATTTTCCAGGTATGATATAGGAGAATATTCCAGGTTTTTGTAAAATAATTGTAACTTTCCCTGATTTTTGGAATTAAAATCAAATTCCTTGACAATTCCAGGTTTTCCCTGTTCTCCCTGACCCGTGGGAACATTGGCAGACATATAATTTCTGGATTTCAAAATTATATGAAAATTTTAACAAATTTATTGGCTAGATAGTTTTACTTTCAGAAGAAATTTTTTTCTTCTTCTATGAGCAATTATTTTAAACTATAAGTTTTTCAGACACATTTCTTTTAAATTAAATGAAAAAATATTAAATAAAATTTTTATACACAATACTATCATTAATAACATATAAAAGGAACGCTTTGTATCGAATACAGTATACTCTCGATCCGTAATCGTACTAAAAACTGTAATAATTAGGGTCAATCTGTAATAGTTAGCATCTCTGGTATATTCTAATTATATCATGAGTTTGGACGGAACCACTAAAAGCGTTCATTAAAATCCAGATTAGGAGTGTATTAAATTATGAATGTGTAAAGTACGGAAGAGAAATCACCTGTTGAACATTGAGACTGTTGGGTGAGAGATCTTTGCAGGGGTCGAGGGCTGTCACCGGGTTCGAATCCGAGGTTGAGTGTTCCAAAGAAAGGGAAGGGAGACGACTGGCTGCTGCTGCTGGACGAGGAGGAAGAGCAGACTGAGATCATCGAATTCCTGTCTTTCCTAGACTCAAAAGTGCCTGAACCCCGATATCGAGGGGCTGTCAAAAGAAGGAACTAGTTGTACATAACATCCAGAGGTTTATTGAAATTACACACTAGACATCAACTATAGGGAATTTTATACAGTGACCACTTTTTAAAAATTGAACATACATAACTGCCAACATGGATAGGAAAAAAACCCAGAAGATTTTAAGCAATATAAATTTCACGCTAATTGTTGTACTAAATAATTGTATGTACTAAATATTTTACACATAGGGGATTTTTATAGTTAGCAAAAAAGTAAAACTGCATTATTTTCCAGTTCTGATTGACATTACACATACTTTAAATGTTGTATATTATGCTTACTCATAATTTCGAACATTAATAGGCGTTAAATTCATCAAAGATAGTTAAAAGATTTTCTTTTAATTAACTTAAAAAGAGAGTCCAGAATAAAAATAACCTGAACAAAAAAAAAAAGTTTTGAAATTTCTTGAATAAAGTCATTAATGAAGCATTTCAAAAAATTTATGTCTTTATAAATTTAAATCATTGATAATTTCACAATATGAAATTCTTAACAAATTATATGCAGCATAATTTAAATGAATAGTTATGTATAAGTTTACTATTATGTCTAATCACATTGTTTACCATAGTTACTCTAATTACATTGTTACCAGAAAAAATATTTACAAATGAAAGAGATACGAAGTATAAATTCTAGTTCTAATATATTTAAATAAAATAAACAGGAATTTTTATGCACAAATGTGATCAATGATTTCTCGTCACTTCCGGACCTTGGATTTCCGAAAATTTCCAGATCGAAGATAGTGAAAAAACCGATATCTGTATATTATTACATTTGAAAGCACTCTAATTGGTATCCTGTGTGCAAGCGAATCATCTTTTCATAATTCTGTTTTCTGGCCTTTAAAATTTTTAAAAAATTTCTTATAATTATTTTTATTATACAGTAAAACTTGTGTAAGTTGACCACTTCTGGTGCATTGTTTTAGTGGTCAACTTATAGAGGGGGTGGGTCATTGTTTACTTTTTCGCTGCTATAAATTAATTTTTTTTTTTTACTTGACTTAAAAAATTTATTCAGAAAATATGCAAATGAATATCTTAAGAAATGCGTTTAAACCTGAATGAACTTCAATTTGATACATATAATTCTAATATTTAACTAATTTTTTTAAAAAAAATTATTTCGTTAGTTATGCATGTGAAGCGTTTAATAAATATAATTTCTTAAAATATCAGAGCACGAGAACATGTAATTTGAAAACTTTAACAAAATAAAATTTGAATACTTTAAAATTTATTTACTACCCTTAAAGATCTAAGACCATAAATAAAGGATCAAAGCATACTTCAGAGCGTTCATTTATTCAAATGCTCACTATTGCGACTGGAAGAGCAACTTTTCACCTAACATACCTGTTTTCAATGAACGGATGAAAGAAATGGTCAAAAGCTGACCCCTTACAGTTTCCCCTGATGGCAACTCACAAAAGGGTTTAGATTAGCTTTTTACACTATTTCACCAAACAAGTGAAATTTTAACACACATTGCCAAAATGACAGAAAATTTTCTGAATTTTTTTTTTCTGGTCAACTTATGAGGGTTTTAGAATAGAATTTCATAATACTCCTAGACAAAATTGACTTATTTCAGTGGTCAACATACAAGATAGACAGGTGGTCAAGTTACAAAGGTTTTGCTTCTTTATATTATATAGGAAAAATTCCGTTCTTGATAATTGAGGTCAACTTATGCAGGTGCCCTACTTACAAGGGTGGTCAACTTGGCAGGTTTCACTGTATGTAGTTTTCTATTTATGTATATTTATACTACTCTTTTAAAAAAAAATATTTTTTCTTTTCTTTATCATGTACATACACATATATGTGTCACCTATAATAAATGTTATAATAGTCTTCTTAACAACTGAAATAAAATTGTACATTAAAAAATTTCTCACATTTTTACTCAATATTTATGAGATTTATATCAGATGAGCCAACCAAAAATAATGTGAATATTTGAGACACATTTTTCGTTCAGCAGTGTTAATCTCAAAGTAATTGGGAAAAATTCCCTACTGGCCATATTTTTATAGCATGGCCAAACCTTATTAACAAAATGTCAAATATACAAAGGAGTTGATCAGTTGTTTGCCAAGTTAAGAGTGTAACAAAACATTAGAAAGGCCTCAAGAAATATATTACCTCTTGTGAGTTGTTGTATACTAATAGAACGATCGCTTATTTGATCTTCACTAGGTCTTATATCAAGACATGGCTTATTCCCTATTCCCATAGACTGATTCTCTGCCTGGCGATTCACTGTAAAAGGCAATCTTCATGTTAGTGCATATAACAATCATACCAGTTGGCATGTCTTTTTTTCCAAAGTGGAAAAAGACACCGCAGAATAAATCAGTTTTTTCCAATTTAAGTGGAAAAAATTATTTTTAATACAGACAAGTATTATATTAAATATCAATTATATCAAGTACTAAAATTTAAATCAGATTTTAACTGTGATCTATTTTAAATAGTAGTAATATTTTAAAGTCATTTATTAAGTCAATTTTAAATACATTAAAATAAAAAAAATGGAGAATTTTTTTTTAAGAAATGCCTTTAATGGCTAAATTAAAAAAAAAAACTTAAAATATCGTAATCAAATCATATGTTATTGTATTATGTTACAAATCACACAGTGTTTTTAAGAACAAAGATTAATAAAAAAAATGCTTTTAAGTACAAATACTGAAAATGCGAATATAATTCTTACTAAATAGGCTAAAGGTATTTGTGATTTTCCACTTTTAAAGCAAATTGTATTTTTACAAGCCTAATCATAAAATAAGTAAATTATAATTTATAAAATAAACTTATGTTAAATTATTGAATTTTCATTATCAAATCAATGACTAGATTCATAAAACTATTAAGATACACCTTTTAATATTTAAGCTGAAAAATCATATCAAAACTGTTTGATAACAACTGTTTTACTTTAAAATCATGACAAATTTTGTTCAATCCATGACTTTGAATGTGCGCAGATACCCTGTATATGCTTTCTTCAGAATTTCAAGCATATCAGAAGATTCACCTAGAATAACGAACAATTTAATGTTCGCTCTAAAGTCAACATTTCAAAGTGTGCTTTGTCAGAAATGACTTGCAGCAAATGCTGACGGTACCAGAAATTAATTCCAGATGGCTGTAGTGCTGCCAACCACTAAAAAAATATTTCCCCTCCAACGAACACCTGCGTGAATGTTGGCAAAAATAAATGTCACACTTCATATTGATTCCCTGTAGCTTTTTTTTTTTTAAATTAATTATTTATATATTTCAAAACAAACATGAATATTTCTCCTTTTCAAACACTAAACAGTTACATGAGATAAAACTTTAATTTTGCAAATTGAAAACATTAATAACCTGAACCTTTTTCATTGTGAAATCTTGATTAGAATCCACCTGAGTTTTGTATTTTGTGTTGTGTTTGATTACTTTACAGAATTGGCAAAAAAATATTCCTTTTTAATTTACATTTAATTTTATTTATTTTAACATATACCACTCAAAGCTGTGATAAAATATATTAATAATGCATATAAGTAAATAAAACATAAGCAATAAAGTAAATAAAATATATTAACATTTCAAACTCAAACAGTTAAAATTATTATCTAATTTTTAAACTTGCCACTGTAAAAATAAAAAGATTCTATAATTACTCTTGGCAGAACAAACACACTACATGTTTAATAAGGTATTTGTAATTTAACAAATATAAAACTAAATGGATGTAATTGAATTATGTTTATTAAACAGAAAATTATTTTAAATACAGCTAATGAAAAGTTATAAGTTTCACATACTTTACTCCACATTTGGTCTTTATTATTATTTTTTCTATTTTGAATATTAAATAATACACTCTCTTATCATTTAAACAGGGGTGATTGCGAGCACAACTCAAAAATACTTAAAATTCCTTGAGTAAAATCACTAATGAAGCATTTCAAAAAATTTATGTCTTAATAAATTTAAATCATTGATATTTTCAAAACATGAAATTCGAAATAAATTACATAAGTGAATAATTATGTATAAGTTCACTTTTATCTCTAATAACTTTCATTATTGTACCAGAAAAAATATTTACAAATGAAAGAGATGCAAAGCAAGTATAAATTCTAGTTCTAATATTTTTAAATAAAATATACAAAAATTATATATAAATGTGATCAATGATTTCTTGGAACATCTGGATCTTGGATTTCCGGATCACGGTTAGCGAAAAATCCAGAAATCTGGATTTTTTCCTGAGCACAATCATCTCTGTTTAAACCTTAAATAAGAATGAAACACCAATCAATAAATAACCTTTATTCATGCAGGCCTGCCTGAGAAGTATTTTTCTAATATCAGTCACCCAAGCAGCTTTGATTTCAGGAGTGGGTGCTTGAAGCTTAAACGTCACACTCTCTTTTCTCTTTCGGAACCAGATCTCAAATTTTGTTGGGCTGTCTCCCAACTGCTCAGTCAGTCCCAAATCTGTTGTCTAAAAAGAAATAACAAATTAGTGGCATTTTTGACACGACAAAAACATACATTCTTTTCCCCCTTGTGTTTAACACTAAACATAACAGCACTTAATATACAGTAGGGAACCGATTATCCGGAACGATCGGGACCATCGCTATTCCGGATAACTGATTTTTCCGGTTTTCTGAATCGCTACAAAAAGCCGTTTTTTTTATTGTTAAACCAAACTAAAAAAAAAGATATTTGAAAATAATCTTAAAAAGAAGAAAAAACGATGAAGTAATACACTAATGATTATTTCCAAAATGATGGTAAGGAAAACATCTTTCAAAAAAGAAAGAAAAATCTTAAGAGGAAAAAAAATTTCTTTTTTTTAAAAAATGGGAAAATTTATCGAATTTCGTTCCGGTTTTTTGGTTTTCCGATTTCCGGATAACGGGTCCTTTACTGTATATCCATTTCTACCATGGTCGGTCAAATGACAAAACTTCATGTTTCTTGATTGAATGTATGAAATATGGCTGCTAAGAAGGAAATAAACTTAAAAAAAACTTTACTATAATTTGAAAAAATTGTGTATTGCCAATTTTTATACATTACAAACACAAAAAATAAGAATTTTTAATTCATTGCTCAACGCAATTATTTACATTATAAAGGGTGTTTCCATTATACATTTTCCGCAAACATAATTCTTCTAATTATTCTTATTTCTATAATTCCTATTATTATTATTCTTATGATTAATATTATATCTTCTAAGAACTTGTGCAGTCTAGATTGTTTCGACATTTTTGTGGGTAAAAATTAACAGTTAGTTAAAAATGAAGTAAAGCTGATCTAAATAAAATATAAGCTATTTACCAAAATAAATAATTTTTGTCACTTTTTCTGACACAAAAATGCCAATCTAAAATTTTAGATACTTAATTGAAATTAGCATTCACAGTTATTCTGATTGAAATAACTACGCAACAGTCTTTGCAGAAATGTGCAACTCATAGAATGCAATACGTTAAACGAGCATTACACAGCATTTCTGATCCAATAACTTTATAAAGCAATACATTGTTCTAATGGTCAAATGACCGGTTGTGGAAGAAATAGGTACAGGACAAGCATTGTCCGAAACAAACAAAATACAAAAAAATAATAATAATAGAATATTGACTGTTTATAATTGTTAGAAAAAGTCGTGCAGTCAAATGAGCAAAAACGATAAGATGATAAGCGAATTTTCGATGCAATAGTTCTTAAACGGTCATTTGACCGGTTATGGTACGTTCAGTGTTAATGTGGTTAAGCAGACATTAATTTAGCATTTTTGCATTTAAAGATTAATTTTGCCATTATGCACATATTATATAATTATTTTAGCATAGTATCTAATATGAATTAGAAGAAATTGCAGAAAAAGTTGTAGTTGATTTGCAACATACATTAAAAATACTGATAATACATTAAAAATATGTTTTAATAAATTGTATGTATTTAGGTACTCAGATCCATTCAGCATTTTTTACAATACACCTAGAAATATTCATCTAAAGTTTGTAACTAAAGCTATACTAATTAAAAACCTACTGCTGTTGTACCTGATTTTCAATTAACTTATTTTTGAAAATTTACATTATTGTAAATCAGAACTATATACAAAATGGCATTTTTAGTAATCAAGATAATTGCGATCAAGCATGCATTATCAAGTGCATACTTTTAATTATATATTTTATCATTTATCTTAAGTCGTCATTTATCAATTACCTTTTATAGCTTTTTTCCCAAAAAGTCTTTCTTAATTTAATATTTAACATGGTGAAATAAAATAAAAACACAAAATCACCAAAGTTTTTTTATATTTTTGACTAAGGAGGTTTTATAGCTATGACTGTAAAAACCATGGTAAAAATGGTCATGCGTCAAAAACTTACCAACACTGGCTATGATTAACTATATAAGAAAACAATTAAATATGTTTGATTAGGTTTAAAAAAATTACAATTTCTAAAATACCATAGAGTTGGTTTAAAGAAATTAAAATTTCTAAAATACCATAGAGTTTTCTAATTAACTCTTTTAAAAAAAAAACACTTATTTTCCATTTATTTTAGTTTCATACAAAAATTTTTAAAATACATATATCATATTATTAAAGAGTCTATTTGAGTATTCATTTTTTAAAGTATTTGATTACAAAATTAGTATGCTATTTGCAATTGAGTATTCATAATGCGATTCGTAGAAATGCATACACGTGATTTGCTAACAAAAAAGTAACTTTAAAAAAATGAATAAATAAAATTTTACAAAATTTTATTATTATGTTTTAACAGTTCTTTATAACTTAGTTAATTTGTTCATATAGAGATCAGAAGAAGAAATCTAAGGAGTACAAAGTTTTAAGAACTTATCAAAAATTTAAAAAAAATGTGTAAAAGATAACTAAACAGTTTTTTCATTTGTTTTTTTTTTATTATTAAAAAGCAGTTATTATAAAGAACTTGCAAAAATGTATATTTTGCATATTTTTTCTAGCTCTTTTAATATAAATTTTGACTTTGTCAAACCTCATGAAGAAAAATAAATACAGTTATCACTTTTACACATAAATACATTTTCCAGCTTCAAATAATTTAATAAATTTTGTTAAAGTACAGATCTTAAAGATTAACATAAAAAGCTATCAATCTTATAGTTTTAAATTTGAATACATAAGAAAATCTAAGGCATTTTATACAAAAAAAAAAAAAAAAAAAAAAAAAAAAAAAANAAAAAAAAAAAAAAAAAAATCACAGTAAATTATTAATTAAGTTTGCTTGTACATAATAAGTAAAATTAAAATTATTTGCTGTTATTATTTTCTCCTAACTCTGGCAATTCAAATTTTTTTCTTTTAAAGTTCATCATTTAGTTTCCCTACATTTAAGTCATATCATTTAGTTTCCCTGCATGGACAACAAATTTATCAGCAGACTTAGTAAGTTCATCTATGCAACAGAATAATCTAAGGACTAATTTGGAAACCTAAGTAGTTCCAAGTACTCCTCGGAGACTTTTTTCATTTCCAAGGAGTTTCTAAAGAGTATAAGGAGTCTGTACGCACCCAGGTATACCAGAGATTGCTTAGAAAAAGACCTTTTGGTCTTAACTAAAAACTGGAAAAGAATTGCAAGGAAAATGTTAACCTCGAAAAAACTTCTTGAGAAGGCCAAGGCCCACCCTGGGCTGTCGAGTCATTGATGGTGATACCATTTAAAATATTTAAAGATTACAGCCATTTTAATTAACCAAGAAATTCATCAATGAAACACTAAAAGGCAACTATTAGAAAGAAATATTATTCTTGATTTTCATGATTTTTATAGCCCGCTAAAATAAAAAGTAAAGATTATAGAACATACATAACCAGGCAAATTAGTCAGGCTATGTATGTTATATTATGTTGCATTCACAACTGCAGAAGAGGACTTGGACATCTCTATTGCATTTACATATTCAAGTCACATACACTATCAGTACATCCCTTAAATCACTGCTTTAGTACTGCAAGCATTTAAAATACCCTAAGAATTGAAGAGAGGACACAGAAAGCAAGTTTTTAAGTAGGACTGGGCGATGCTAAGATTTTGGCATCGCGATATTTTGATTCACCACGATGGTTTGGTACATTAATGCTTAATATCTAGTACTGTGTAAATTCGCAATTAGTAAGTTGCTTTTTTTTTAAAAATAAATGATGCCTTATTTTTAATAATTATTTCTCAATACTTAGAGAAGTGGATGTCAGAAAAATAGCAGAACATTAAACGGCTGGATTGATTGCAAAAAAAACCCAACAGGATTTGCACACACACACAAGAGAATTCTCACGGATTCAGGTCAGCAAAACCATGCGTCACGATGTAAAAAAAATCAGGGAAAGTTAACAATCATCTCCAGTTATCACTGGGCACAGGAAAAAGCTATTCGCGCAAGCTTGCAGACATCCCTGTGCTATCAGGAACATTGAGCGTGTAGACAACGATGTAAATGATACATCGGGAAATATTGTACACGTCTCAGTAAATTCCAATTTCCGATACTTCGCAAAACTGCCAATTAAAACATCGAATCGGCGATGATTGCACATAATCAATATTTTCCAATGCATCAATTTACAGCCCAGTCCTTGTTTTATGGGACATGTAATTCCCCAACACAAAAAAATAGATTTCATTTCAGTATCTGAATACTTTTGAGTATCATATTACATTGTTGCCTTTCCATATATGCAGGCGAGTTCTAATTAAAAGACTCAATTGATCAAATTTAAGTCTTTTGTTTTGTCTACAAATAAAAATAATAGATGGATAAAGAGAGTTTATGTTTTAAATAAATGATTTCAGTGATAATTTCTGACGTCCGAATATAAATTATTGACTGCAATTCAATGGTCCTGATATATGCACACAAATTAGTGGAAGAATCTAAAATCTCATTACAACAACATATTTCTATCCCAAGGGCCTACATATTTTGGGAATACAATAATTTTGATGTTATATACGTACAGTTAGAAAATGCATTTATAATATAGTAATTACACAAGCGGAATTACATAGGAGTGTTACATCTAATATAGAGATGCGCAACCTTTTGAAGTGAAGGGCCACATGCGCAGCAGATCGGCCAATGAAGGGTCACATGCTTAAGTATTTAGACAGACATGTTGACAGCAATTGTTGGTAGTAATTGTTCAATAAACATCATTGTTCTAGGCACTCATTTCTTTTTATCAGTTAACCTTGTAATATGTTTGCATAAAATTAAATACTTTTAAATGTTTCAAATTAGAAACTGCAAAACTGATTACTCAGAATAATAAACTGAATCAGAATTAATTTATAAAAAAAAAAAAAAAAAAAAATTCAAATAAATTGAAATAATTAAAAACAATGGGAAAATTCATGTTTTTTTAAATCATGTTACACATTACAAAAGTCCAATTTAAAAGTCAAAAACTTAAATATGCAATTTAAAATTTAAGAATTTTTTTTTCCAGAAAAAAATTACGATTCTTTTTTTAAAATTCTGTTCAGGTTTTGGCATTTTGTTCAGGTTGCACATCAAGGGTTTGGTGGGCCGCAAGTTGTGCAACTCTACTTTAATAGATATGATTTCATAGAAGGGAACTCTACTTATGTGAAGGCTATCTGAACAACATTTGTCTTATAAAGGATGTCAGAAAATTAAATTATCATAAAAATGCATACTTTGATGCTGTGTTTGTAGTGGTAGACCTCATATCCCTTCCTCTGGGGGTCTCTCTGTGCTTTACTGAAGAGAACGAGATCCTCAAAAAGGAAGATGTGACGCATCATATTCTTCCTCAGCCTCCCGTGCCACACAATGAACTCTTCCTGTCTCAATAGCCTGCCTTGTTCCTTCACATTTACCTGAAACACAATGTTTTATTCAACTTTTCTATACCTTACCAGGGGTCTGTCCAGGGCAAATTTACTACTGTTTAGAGGTACCTTTACAAATACAACTCTAGGAAAAATGGTAGTTTCACAAAATACTTTTGAAAAAAGCAAGTTCTAAGATTCGCCTCCCCGCCTCTTAAAATTTCGTTTTTGCATAAGAAAAGGTTGTACGTGCTTCGTCAGATAGTGCGGAGTGGTAAGCCTAAACGGTTGCTTACGCCATATTATAGAAAGCTTTCTTTCTTTTTTTTTTGCAGAGTTTTTTTTTTTTTTTTTTTTTTTTTAATTAAAGAATGAGGCGCTCCCTTTGTGAACTTTACAAGAAGTTGAAATTCGAACACTATTCTAAATATTTGAAATTATTCTAAATTCATTCTAATAGATATTTACTTTTTTCTGAAACATTTTCTCTCCTAGAAACTTTTTTCTGTATGACCGTATGGGAAATGTTCTCATAATGAAAATAACTTCTAGAGCAAGAACTGCTAAATGCATGGTTTTTTTTTTTTTTTTGGTTTTTTTTTAAATTCAAGTTGAGATTTAACAATGGACAATGACTTTTATGGATTTTTAGCTCAAAATTTTACAATAGCAAAATTATTTTTGAATATGTGGGGAAAAATATATAAAAATTTGATAGTCATAAATTATTTTTATTTGTAGAGACAATTTTTTAAAATATCTTCTCACTTTACCATATTTTTGAGTTGATTTTTTATATAATTTTTAATTTTCACAAATTATGTCTAAATTTTCACAAAATAGGTACCTCTCATAAAAACCTAGACAGACCCCTGCTTGCACAAAGCAGGGGTCTGTCCAGACAATTTGTAAAAGGTCCGTTTTTGTAAAATTGTGAAAAAATTACTCGTAATTTGTGAATATAAAATAAACGTTAAGTCATGTTCTATAAACCAGGGTCCTGCTTTTGCAAATCTGTGCAAATAGGGTCCTGTTATTGCAAAATACTTTTCAAGGAGTTTTTAAATTGTAAAGAGATACAAGATTATGCTCAACACTGTAAAAATATAATAAAAAAAAATTAAAATTTAAAAGAGTAATTTCTGCTAATTACCACTAGTAATTTAAAACAGTAATTGCTGCTACTAAGTTAGAGATGCAACATACAAATATTTGGTATTTAGCCTATACTGCTGAAAGCAGAAAATTCATTTTGTACAAATAAAGGAAGAAGCGTCGGCCGAAGAGAAAACTTAATTTGTTTACATCCACCTTTCTTGTTTTCTGCCCTGGGAAGGGTTTATTCGATTAATAAAACAATAATGAAGGTAAATAAATTTGTGAAGGGTCCGATTAAAAGATAAATTATTTTGTGAAGGGTCCGTTTTTAAGTTAAAATATTTTGTGAAGGGTCTGTTTTTATGAAAAGATATTTTGTGAAAGGTCCGTTAGCGGACCCAAATTTCTTTTAAACAGACCCCTGCAAAGAATCAACAGTTCAGTTATTGGAAACACAATCTGCTCAGAGAAATCTGACCTCTATCAGATATTTAACATCTTATCTTTCGAATTTATAAAAGATGTACAAACAGACCACCCTGATTAAATTTTGATCAAACGATCTGATCTTAACGTTCTAGGAATCAATCATAATGATTCGAGGGGGTGACCTCAAATATGTTAATTAATTAAAGCAGATGATATTTTAAGTTACAAAATCAGACATAAAAGCATACCTTCTCTGAATAAACATGCTTTTTTTTCCAACGGCTTTGAATTTCTTACCCTTAAAGTATAGGGGGTAACCATGATTTGGGAAATAGGGTCTCCATAGTTCGGTTATGAGAGCAACCCAAAGTTTGGATCCCTTAATCATAATTTTATTTTTTATACATTTCGCCATATCTTGCGAACTTTTTAAGTGATTCAAAAAAATTTTTTCAACAATTATACAATTTGTTTAACCTAAGATAATTTCACGCGAAAAATAAACTTTAGCTTTTAATTTTAAACTATATTTCCAATTCAAATGATTTCAGTTATTATACAATTATTACAACAAAAAATACACTTTTTTTTATAGCTGAATACTTTTATGACTTTGTAAAGACAAAGACCCGATTTAGTCATCAAATGAAGAAAAATTAATTTATATCTGGAAGCATAAAAAAGAATAAACAATTCTAAATTACTCTAAGCAAAACATTATTCATACAAATGTTTTAAAAGAATTTGCATTTAAACATAAAACGGAATTGAAATATGCACAAAATATAACAAATTATTTTTCATACACCAAAAGGAAAGTTATAATTTAATCCACGTGTATCATTAATTTACAGACTACTTTTTAAAATCAAAAACAATTTAAGGGCATTTCTTTCCATCTCTAGATAAAACCTTCAGAAAGAATAAAAATCAGAAACTTAAAAATGTATCAACAGATTATCCAAATAAAAAATAAGCATTTCGAAAAATCAATTGATATAAATGAAATAGTTTTTCCTCAAGCCCACATGTCTAATTTTTAAACAAAACTTCACATAACTTAATTGTGTGTTTTATAAAAAAAATTCTATTTCAAATACAAAATCACAAATCCTTTAAATGCATTAAATAAGTGGCAGAATTGTAAAGGTAGAGTCCAGAGAAACAAACTTACATCACAGTCTTTCAATGCATCCATTGCAAGCAAATCATTACCATGCCTCAGTTGGAAACGTACCATTTCCTCAGAAGCCTACATTAGGAGTAAATTATATTAATTCCATGTAAAATTACTTCGATCAACAGTTACATTATTGTAGACATCGCAACATATGAGCTACAGATCTTTTTTTCTTCAAAACAATAAATAAATAAATAAAATTAAACAAATAGACAAACAAATTACTTTTCCACAATTCAATAATTAGATCTTTTTTTTCTTCTAAATATTCCTTAAAATATTTAAGTAGAAAAAAAGATAAAAAGAAAAATTTTCAAAATTTATTTGAAAGAAACTATACATGCCTACCAAAATTTGTCATAGATGGATATTATAAAATTTAGATTATCCCTTCTATATATATTTCACGTTGCATGTGACTACCAACAGTAGTAAATTAAAGCAGAACTTTTTTTTGCAATTTTCTTTAACCAAAAAATGAATTTTCAAAACCAACCATTTCAATCATAGCCCTTTATATATCTATATATATATCGTAATAAATAGATACAAAAAGGACAACAAAGAAAAACCGAAGAAAATTAAGAAAAACAATAAGTTTTATTTACTGCGCATAAGCTGCAAGTAAATAGAGCTCATAAAATAAGTTCACAATGTAGAGAAAACATGAAAAAAATTACAGAACGAAAAAGGGGAAAAATAAAAATTTGAAAAAAAGGGGAAAAAATATTCAAGCACTCCTTTTTTCAGATATAATCGTGTGAGCAGATGAAAAAATTATATCTTTTATTTCTGCTTATATACATATTTCCAATTTTCCCCCAGATTTTAATTACTTTTCTTTTTCCCTTTTTTTCATTGCTCCGTAATTTTTTCCATCTTTTCTCCACATTTTGAACTACAAGTACACACACATGCATATATACACATACATACAGGGCCTGTGCTAAGCATTCGCCACCAAATGCAATAAAATCATAAATTTGGCAAATGATTATTTTCCACTGGAAAGAAAACTATATATTTAACTCTATCCTCAAAATGAATTTTTCTTACCAAAGCAGTATGTTTTATTCGATCAAAAGTAATTTTCGATAGATGTGCCATATCCAATTAGAATTGGGTCCAAATAATATAAACTCGAAACAAACTACCGTAAAATAGTTTTCTATAGAGAAAAAAAATTATTGTAAAAAATGGCATTTGGCGAATACTCCGGAAAATTGGCGAATAGGTTTTGATATTTAGCTAATAGTTTTAAATCCTTAGCATGGGCCCTGTACATACAGATATATATCCTAGGAGTGAAAATATTTTAAATCAAATTTCTGAAACCAAAAACTAAATATTGAGGTAATAACAATCAGGATCAAAATTACAATGATAATCAAGATTATATATTTAATTAGATATATACATTATATTCCTTCTAATGGAAGTTCTATAATCAGGATTCTTCCTTAATTTTTAAAATAAAATCTTTTCAACGAATATATGTAACGATCAAATAATTAATCGATTAATAGTAACTGATGGTAATAACAATGTGAGTCAATGAAAGTGAATGATCTATTATTTACCGGTTAATGTACCATCACAAAGTCTGGGTAATGTTATAATCTTTAACCTATCTGTCTATAATAAATAATAATAGCCAGATTAATCATAGCACATATATATAATAAAGCAAATTTGCACTGTACGCAACAATATTTCACCATAAATATAACATTTTGTAAGAAACAGAATTTCACAAGATGAAAGCAAAATTTGTGAAGTCTTCATTTCTTGACCACTATAATTTTATAGTCAAATAAAATTCATTATGAATCAAAATTAAAAACATACTGCAGTGCTTAAACTGAATCTTTGTGTCCAAATTTCAGTTGTTTCCCGACAGTCACCACAAACAGAGTTTATCATCAAAGAGAATTTTAACAACTGTCTAAATTATAATTGACAGGAAAATAATATAAGATTCAATCAGGTCAAATAAAACCAACTTTAAAGAACAATTTAGAAATGAAAGATGTTATGCACAATTCATTAATCTTCTAAAGAGCCTTTTTTTTTTTCTTACGTTAAAATATTTTTGGGATGGAAATTGATTAGAAAAAACTAATTTAAATCATAAGATTTATTTTCTTTGAATTGAATTTGAAGGGTTTAATAGCACAAAGTCCACAAAAGGACATACTGTGCCAAACAAACGGTTTTAAAATAAATCTTAGGTAAATGCATACTACAAATTTCTCTTACTAAAATCACATGGAATTTATAAAACTGAATACAATGTAACAGACATATTCAAAAGTGAGTAAAACCAGATAAAATGTAAATATATTAAAACATCATAAAACAGTTGCATTCAAAAATGAATAGATTTCTTTTCTTTTTGTTGGTAGGAAAGTTCTGTGTTTACAATTGACTATAACTTTGTGTTCATAGCTACAAATAAATTCAAAGATCATGTGAATGAACATGATTTTTAAATTTATTGACCTCACATTGTATGTATATCAAGACTTTTATTGCAGTTTTTTTTTCCTGCAGAATTATATACTGAATTAATGATACTTTTCTTGCTCATCAGAAAGGAAAGAAACACTCCTGATTTTTCTGTTCTCATTTTAGAATTAAAAAAAATGGCCAATGACTGGCTTGCTTCAGATAGAATTTTAAATTGATAAAATAAAATAAATACATAATAAAAATTCTGAAATCACTAAAGTTTAAAAGATAATTCGCTCTAGAAATGATGTTTTTTCTTTCCTTTTTTTAAAAAACACCATAATTTTTAAAGAACATGATAAAAAACATTTCATATTTGAATAAAATAGCACTGTTAGAGGGGATTTTGATACAAATTCAGATATTTGGAACACCATAAAATTGGGGGGTAAATTCCATTTTAATAATTAGATTTTCCAGCGACCTCATGACTCTCCAGGTGCGCAGATACCCTGAATTTAATGTAAAACTTTAATTCCTAGTTAAAAATTTTACTAAATTAATTTCTTCACATTTTTTGTACTAAAGGACTAATACACTTTTTCTAAATACTTTTATAGAGTGGTAGACAAAACTTTCAAAATACTTCGTAAGTTTGCCTCACACAAGGGACCTGGAAAGAAATGGTATTTGAAAATAAACTTTTGAATCTTTTGCGTGTGCAGAAATTACTAAACAAAGAACATCTTTTTAGCTACAACTTGAAGAAATTTTACCAAAAAGGATGGCAGACCTGGTACTATTTCTTCTTTAAATGAGAAATTTGAAAAACCTGCTCTTAATAGAAAGAACTCAGAAATTTAGAAGTCCTGGGTCCTAAGGATTAGTAGCTCTTAAAGTCAGGCGGAATCACTGAACAACCCTATTTAGTTTCTCCCCCTCCCCCCAATAAAAAAACTCAGAATTTTTCCCATTATCTCAAGGTTTTTTTTTGTTCAGAAATTCTCTTTCTCACTGATAAACACAAAATATATATAAATAAAAAATAGAATTATTTTTGTAAAGAAACTTTCCAAAAAAATTATATTTCTTAAAAAACAATTTATTAAAATTAGCTAAGATTTCTTACAGACTACAATTTTTCAATCATTTTTTTAGGAAACACTGAGCCTTTACTAATTTTCCCACTGTCCTAGCACCTCATCATTTTGTTCATGTATATAAGTTTCAAATAATACAGTAGCATGCTCTAAAACTTAATATACACTTGAGCGTTTACGTATATTTCTGGGGAAAAAAACAAAAAACATTTGTATGTTTTCTGATAAAAAAAATGCAAGAACCAGGTTTTAAAAAATAGTTTCATTTTTCAAGTTTTTTGGATTTTGGTTGAAAAAGAAAGAGAAAAACCTTTAATGCGTGGTGGCTGGGCTCCCTTTCTGGACATTCTTTTAGCAATTCTTTAAGGAGTAATGCATACTTTCCCATCCTCTGAACTGGTTTCAACAGGTAACTAGCTAAATCCATTTTGTCTTCAAGTTTTAATTGCATTTTCTAATAAACAACAAATGAAAAACACTATTAATAACATATATCCATTAAAATTATGTTACACAAGTATTCATACCTTTAAACTAACAGTTGTCTATTAAGAAACTGATAGGTAAAGAAAGCTGTTCAAAATAATAAACAAAAAAGTGCATCCACTTATGTTCATTTTTAACTCTAATTTCTGGGTCATGTTATGGATAATGGTAAAATGTACCACGGTACTTAATTTTCTCCTATCCTAAAGATTTACAAGCATTTTTTTGGTCTGACTAGCAAAAATTCATCAGAGTTGCCACTCAAATCTGGAAAAATAAATTCCCTGTGTTTTCCCTACAGGGTGAGAATCTCTCATATTATTTTCTTTTCTCGCATTAAAAAATTATTACTGCGAGAAATTCGCACATTCTATAAATCAATCTCAAAATTCGCGAATTTCTCGCATTTTGGAAAAAGTTTTGAATTACGCCATTTAGAATAAAATCCTTTTTACTTTTCTTCCTTGATCTTTCATTAGTTTCAACATCTGCCCTGTTATCTAGGTTCCCTATTTACCAGTATTGTTCAGAACCTTTTCGAACTACAGAACACAACCATGGAACCCCTTTCCGAACGCATTTCTCTGTAACAGCGTGTTTACCGTAGGTAAGGTTTCTTCATGTAAGATGTTAAAATTTTTTATCTGCTAATGTAAGATGGACAAATACCTTGTAAAGGCAAAATCTTCTATGATGATGCACCAAAAATATTCAATGCTTTAAAAAATAGAAGACGTTAAAAATTTATTATAATTAAAAAAATGATATAATTAAAGAAATGATTTTTTTTCAAGAGTTTTTGTGTTTTTTTTAGTTTTTAGAAATCTCACCCTGTTTTTGAGAAATAGTGAGAAATTCTCACCCATTTTTTTTCTATGATGAAAACAGTGCTTGTACATATTATACACACTATATTAAGGGGAAACCAACAATTACTATGCTCTTGTGTGAGCTATATTGGGATAACTATATTAGTTTTAATGGCTGGAAAAACAGCTGAACATACTTAAATGCTTTAGTAAAAGAAATAGCTTAGTATAGCTGGTTAAATATCCCGTAGGTTACACGTTGAGTAGTCACCATTTTTAAAAAAAGAAAAATAAGAAATTTTTTTAAAAAAAAAAAGGATTTTGTAAAGAAAATATCCCAATTCACGGCATTTTCTCTGTTAGTTTAGATGATTTTTAAATTCTCTGTCCTCCCTGTGAAGAGGCAGCCCTGTTTTATGATGCATTCATTCATTCTGAATAATGAACACAAAAAAAACACTGCAGATTGTGCAGAAGTTTTTTCTCACTATTTTAGCAATTGTTCAATGCTTGGACTTAGCTCACCCTTCACTAATAAGAATTGTATTTTAAGCAATTTAAAACAGATAACTAAGCTCCTTTAACAGTAATATGATTTTCCTTCACTAATTGTCTACAAAAAATTAGGAACACCATTTACGGATGCAGACTTAATGACACCTCACAAAAATTCCCTTTTTTGAATAAGTTTGCATAAATGACATTTGCAAATAAGCTTCCTAAAATATGAAAAGAAGTAAAATAACATACTCTAAAAAATGTATTTCCATACTCTGACATCAATGCATCTGACTTAGGTTTATTCTTGTTGTATAAGGCATATAAATAAAATTCATTTTGCTGAAAAACAAAGGAAGCATATTCTTTTAGAGCAGAAATAGGAAAAGATTTAAATGGCAGTACAATATTAAGAATTAAAACTTATCTTCATAAGAATCATGTCACGAAACATTTTGTGACTTTTATTCGGAATTCAACAATTTTAAGGATCCTTCTTTAAGATACTATTCCTTCAACATATTCAAAATTGTCAATTAATTAGTTTTTAAAAAGACACGACATTTAACAGTACAACAAAAAGATAGTTTTGTTTATTTTTTGTCAACTCATGCAACTGCACATGAAATTGTAACACAATTTTGTTAATCTGACAAATTTTTTCAATAATTACAGAGAAGTTTAGAGTGATAAATAGCAGACGTAGTTATCCATATTAATGAAAATAAATACAATTTTGAATTATTTATAAATACCCATAGCTGCCAACTTGCTAAAAACAAAAATAGAAACATAAAGCATGATAAGCCTGTCGAGAAACTCCGAGGTACTATTAGACTCTAAATTTAACCGCAACCCTGACACAACCACAGTTATGTAAGTAAACAGAAGTTGAATGATCGCCTTCGAACTAAGAAGTTGAAATGTTCTGTTCCTTTTTAAAAATATTAAATGTTCTCTTACTTCTTACTTACAAAAAACAAACTTTACTTCTTTAAAATACTTACTTCCAACAAGAATCTCCATATATTATTTTTTAAATTGCGTGAATATGAATCGAGATATTGGGTTTTCAAATTGTGTAAATATAAATAGCAATATTGGGTTTTAAAAACACACTTAATTACAATTCGTGAGATTTGATTTTTAAATTGCATTAAAATTAATCACAATGCATAACTTTCGGATCATGTGAATAAAAATTGCAATGCATATTTTTTATATCACGTATAAATATGAATATTTGATATAACAAACACAAAAATACAAATCACAATATTAGATTTTAAAAACAAGTGAGTAGGAATTATGAAATTGGATTTTAGATTCATGTGAAAATGAGTCGCGATATTGGGTTTTTAAAATGTGGAAATATTGGACTTTTAAACAAGTGAATAGGAATCAGACGAGTAAATCGAATGAAAATTGATGTTTGATGTTAAAATCGTGTGAATACGAATCGCAACATTAGTTGATACCGGCACAATCCCAAATATTGAAAATGGCAAAAATCCGTCAAACCAAAAGAATAAAATTGGCCGAAGATTCACGTTATTATTAATAATAATAATAAACAGTTTTGAAGCCCGGTATACTCCTAATTTCAGTTTTCTATGATTCATATTTCGGTTTTCTATGAATAACCCGAAACTATTATTTTGATTGATGTTAAGCTACAGAGTATAGAAAATAGACCTACTAACCTTATTATAACACAATAAAATAACATGTAACTAGGAAATTTATTCTAATATCTCTACTAAATAATAATAGTGATTTAAGCAAATCCTTGAATTGTTTGATTAATCTCATTTAAACAAACATTTATATTTCTCATAAATTAGAATTAGTTAACTAATCAGTGAACTAATTATACATTAATTAATATTACTTTACTAATATTGGATATATTCATGTACTTATGTAAGCAAGAGTGCAAAAAATTCCAAGAGCTTAAGATTCCCTATGAACAATATTTATTTTTTAAAATCAAAATTTCCCCAAAAGCTTCAAAACAATTTTTTCAGTACTATAGCTTTTTCATATTTTTCGATAATAAAGTTTATACAAGAAAAAATTCATTTGATTTTACACAATTCTTGAATAAACAAGCACATGTGTTGTAAAATAATAGAAATCAAAATACATTGAAATAGTAATAATTTATTAAATAGTATTTAGATCCCACTTACTAACTTAAGGAATTCAAACTAAGAAATACTCAAATTGGCTTATGCGTTTTGAACAAGAAAAAGTTTTGCAAAGCAAAATATTTTTTAACAAAAAATTTTGTAGGAATTTTTTATTTTCCCACTGTTATACAAATATTGAGTACAATATTAAGTACAAATATTAAGTGCAAATTAGAAATTACAAACAAACCCATCTCTAGCGAATCAAGATCAAGAATATTTTAAATCAAGAAACTTACAAATCATTATAATGTGAGATATTTTAAAAATTTTCATAGTTTTAAAATTTCTTATTAATATATTGCTGTGTTAATAAGTGTCAATTAGTAAAATTACATTAGTACTTGGTAATTTATTGATTACATAAACACAATCCTTCAAACTACAATTTAATATTGTAAGTGCATTTCTATATCTTACAAATATAATTTTTTTTTAAAATTGTTTTAAATTGATAAAAAAAAACTTTTTTTAAAAATAGAAGGTTACTTCACATAAAAATATATGTCAATCTACAATAAAGGTAACTTATGAAAGAAACTATTTTTGTCATTTACAAATAGTAAAAAACAAATGTTAAATAAATTCTGTTACCTTCATTTTCTTGAAATAAATGATACCTTTCAATTCATTTACACATACAGTGAAACAATTTTTAATGCATTAAATTTGTTTGAAATGTATTGCAATATTTAAGTTAAAATTGTAAAGTATAGTTAATTATAAACTTTAGTTCTTTAAAGTATCTTTAAAAAAAAACCTCATCTCTAGAAAAATGAAAAATAAACAAAAAGAGACTTACAAAATCTAGAAAGCATTGTCCCACAGTGAAAGGTGAATTTTCGCAGTGTTCTAACTCTGCCAAAAAATACTGATTGTGAAATTCATAGATTTTTTCAATATTTCCAAAAATAACATTTCTTTTTCCTCTGAGTGCCTGGGGGATGTCTTCCCTTGTTAGCTCAGGTATATAATTCTAAAAACAACAATAAAACTATTAAACTTAGTCATTCTTCCATATAAAACAGTTGGACCATCAACGGGTCCACTATATCTAAAATATTTGTTCAGTGGTATTGTTGAACAAAAATGTTTGCAATAATACACAAGTTTTTTTTTCTTTAAATTATTAATTAGCTAAATTTGTAGTTTGAATACTGCAAATTTCCCCTACAACAAAATATTTAATTAGATCATTAAATAATGTAACATAATATTCTAAATATAGCAAAATGACTGCCTCTCGATAATGAATTTTTTAGATGTTTATCTTTTTTCTTATTTCCACCATTTTCGAAGGAAGTTACAATTTAAAATGTGCAACCATTTTTGCTCTCTCAAGTTACCTATTTTTGGAATTCATCCCAGCAAAACGCTTCTTTATATTTTATTCTTAATTAAAAGTGATCATTAAATACTTTTGAACTTATCACATAGACTAAAAAGTTTGTATCATTAATATTTAACCATTGTTTCAAATGCTTACTCAGGACGAAGCAGAAGTGAAAGGAATTATACTACAGAACCGAGGTTTTGCACCACTAGGTCAGAGTTTAGAAAAAAATCACAAATAATAAAGTACTGCTGCCATAATTTTTGATACCATTTTAGATTCTTACATAATTTGTCATATACATTAAAACCAGACTTTAATAATGTTTTTCCCTCAATTTACATGAAGAAAAAATATACAACAAAAGCAATTTACAAGAAGAAATAACAAAATTTAAAATGAAGACTGTATCACTTTTTAACTCTTTAGCAAAGGAATCATAACTTTCACTCATTGGTACATTTATCATACAAGTATATTCATCCTCTGATAAATAATGCCTTCTCTGGCATCAAGGCTATCCCAAATAACAATGAAAGCTAAAACTAAACTCGGCGGCGCGACAGCCCATGGAGGGTCAGGGCCTACTATGCCCATCTCAGTTTTCTTAACCTCGGGCTCTGGAGCAGATGTTCTGTTGATGAACTATCATCATCATAGTTGGCCAGACAGCCCAATGTGGGCCAATGCCTTCCTCTGAAGATTTCTCCATAATGACTTTTGATTTATTTTTGATCAAAACTTTGTTCAGTTTAAATGCTACACAGAGTGCCATCTAGGGGTTATTAAAAATTGTTTCAGCTTAAAATGCACCGCCCCATTCTCACATAGATGATTCCCCCGTCGCAAAGAGGTTAAATAACTGAAAAAAATTTAGTCTGTCTTAGATGAACAACTATTTTCTTGGCATGCTAATCTTTATCAATAACCTTAGGGCTGACAGAATAATAACATTTCACTTAAAAATATTATTTCATTTGAAATTTTATATTATTAATGTGTTATAACCATTTTAGTCGGAGGAATTCAAAGGAAAATCAATTTTTGTTTTAAATATTTATTCTCTGCGATAAAAGAGAAATGTATGTGAGTGGATGTTTCACTAATAATTTTTTTAAAAGCCTAAAAAAATTTTTTAGCATAATTGAATATAGGGTGTAAAAATGTGAACAAGAGGTTTTTTCAATGATTCAAAACAAAGCAAATATATCAATTAATACAAATATTTATATTTTGGTAGAATAACCCACATAAATAAATGATACAGTTCAGTCAATTAGTAATAACTGAAATTTGACCAGATGTGTGAAAAGTCCCAGTAAGTTCAGCTCTCCATTAGTTTTTGTTTTGGACTTTTAAATAATAACATTTGTCTTTCTGACAGATTTCCAAAAAAATGAATTAATTAATTAATAAAATAAATAAAACAAAATAAATAAACTTATTTTAAATAGTTTATAACAAAAATAGTAAAAGGAAATTTAATTTTTATTACTCAACCACAAGACAGTACTTAATCAGCAAATCTTAATCAGAGAGTAATTATAGCGGATAGATCATAACAGTAAGCACCTCCGTACATAGCAATCAGTAAATATACATAATGTATTCAGGCCTGTGGCAGAATTTATTTTAGCAATCTGCGACATACCCCTCTAGTGCTAATATCTTTCTACAATATATTTTTAATAACAAACATATATGCTACTAATTTAAAATAACAAAAAAGCTGGTTTTACAACAAAAAAAATACTATATATATTTTTTTCTTAATTGAACATATAATTTTTATTTTAATATTATAGGTAATATTTTCACATTTTGTCTAAAGGGGGGAATGCACAGATAATATCCTCGGCATTTTGTAAATAATTATCGCAATAAAAAAAATAACTAAAAATCAGGCAATCCGCAGCAGTACTTGCCGTAAAAAAAGATTGACAGCAAAATCACACGCATCGGAGACCTCGAGTATGTGTTTCCTTTCGAGATTGGGCTGTTGTTATAAATAATATCGTATAAGAAATATCAGATTTAAAAAATATAAAGAATATAACTCCCAAAAATTCGATAGAATTATTGCCTTAAAAATTAAATACTCAAATGCACAATTTGAATTTTCCATATTGTTTGAAATATATCGGGATATTCAAAAATCAATATCAATAACTGCCGAAAATACAATCGAAATATTACATCGCCTTATACAATCGAAATACACAAGGTTCCGAAAATACAATCAAAATATTACATCGATTTACGATACTTTCGGCGTATGTTGAGCGAGTCAAAAAGTGATTATCTAACTGCATAATTCAAATATCAATTCTGCCACAGGGTTATTCAGGAATACTGGGTATACAGGGTTGCCACTCATATCATCTGGTTAAAAAAAAATTCACCGTGTTTACCCGTTACATATTATACACACTATATTAAGAGGAAACAACAATTACTGTGCTCTTGTGTCAGCTATAGTGGGATAACTATATTAGATATTAGTTTTTAATTGCCGGAACATACTTAAATGATGCTATAGCAAATTAAATAGTTTAGTATAGCTAAAAAATTATGGTTAAATATCCCATAGATTACGCTTTGAGTCGCCACCTTTTTTTAAAGACAAAAGTAAGACACAATGTGCCCTGTATTTTTCCAGTTTGCAAAGAAAAAAGCAACATTTCCTGTATTTTCCCTCTTATTTTAGGTGATTTTTAAACCCCCTGTATTTTCCAGGTTTTCCCTGGGGAGTGGCAATTCTGGTATAATGCGATAGAAATTATACATAATGTAATCAGAAATAGTTAACCCTTCTGTACATACAACCGGTAAATATAACGTAATCAGAAAAACGTAAAATACATAATTCACAACAAACAGTACCTCTATAATGTACTCCAAAGAATTTACATAGTCCCTCTCAGTCTGAATCAATTCTTTCATGATATTCATTAAAGTCCTGTAAATAACAGAAAAGTAGTTATGTGGGATTTTGCACAAATTATAAGTATCTAATCAGGGGTCTGTTTATAAGAAATTTGGGTTCGTTAGCGGACCCTTCACAAAATATTTTAACTTAAAAACGGATCCTTCACTAAATAATTTATCTTTTAATCGGTCCCTTTACAAATTTGTTTATCTTCATTATTGTTTTGTTAATCGAATAAACCCTTCCTAGGAAGGGGTGGGGGAGAAAGACAGATGTAAACGAACTAAATTTTGTCTTCGGCAGACGCTTCTTCCTTTATTCGTCCGAAATTAATATTCTGCCTTCAGCAGTATAGGCTAAATACCAAATATTTGTACGTTGCATCGCTAATTTAGTAGCTGCAATTGCCGCTTATTTTTTAAAATTTCATTTTTTTAATTATAATTTTACAGTGTTGAGCATAATTTTGTATGTCTTCACAATTTGAAAACTCCTTGAAAAAGCTTTTTCGCAATAACGGACCCTTTTTGCACAAATTCACAAAAGCGGACCCTGGTTGAAAGAATGTGACTAAACATTTATTTTATATTCACAAATTACGCGTCATTTTTTTACAATTTTACAAAATTGGACCTTTCACAAAATGTCTTGACAGACCACTGCTAATTTACAGGAAGTAATTTACAGAAGTAACAAGAACAGAGGTGTAGTGTACAGTATGAAAATTAAAAAAAAAAATTAATAAAAAAAAAAGAAAAACTTACATCCTATATAACTTTTAATTCTGGGGAGAATCTTGCACCCCAACTAAACTGATTAACAGGGTGCGTAGCTCAATTTTACAAGAAAAAATAAGCATCTTTTAAGCACTCAAAAAATTTTTGGACTTACTCAAAAAATCAGGATATAGACACTAATAAATATTTTTTCTTCCTATTATTAAAAGTTCTTCACATATGCATAAACAAAATGCAAAACAATTTTCAAAGACATGATCAAGCAAGCAGGGTGCATAGTCAAATCTTTCAATCAAAAATAAGCACCTTTTAAATTCACACTCAATCAATGAATAAGGGGTAAAAATACATTTCCCCTTTTTTGATATTATTGAAAAACAAAAAATTTTTATAAAGAGTTTTAGCATTAAAAAAACCCAAAAAGAAACAGACGTAAATCGAAATCACTGGTCTTTCCCAAATCACTGATCCAATCAAAATGAATTCAAATTGACCCTGAACTCAGAACAAAAGTACCCTTATCCCCTGCGTCAAAAAAGTGGTAGAAGTAAAATAAAATAAACAAGAATAAAATTAAAATAAATTAAAAAGAAAAACTTTTCATAAGGATCTAATATTCTCAATCCGAATTCTCTATCCGCCTGACTGATTCCATAGCAAACACCCCTTTTTTTGTGAAATGCATGGGGTCCACCAGATATCACTGAAGAAAAAAAAATAATAATTCGAGAAAAAAAGCACTTTTTAAAAACGCCAGCTGAAAAATGCACCTTTAAGGGCTTTTAAAAACGAAATCCTCCCCAAAGCACCTTTAAGTACTTTTTAAAAACCCTAGTTTCTGAGAATTAACACTTTCCTTGATTATATTAGCCAGCAAAAAAACAATTTATACACAATTTAAAATATATTCAATATTGAGTGGTACATTCTATTTTTTAAATTAATAATTACTTTTCTTAATTATGTAAAAAAGGTTATCAAGTGTATTTTTTAGATTTATATAAAAATTATTTAAAGCATATTCAAGATTAATATTATTGATCATACTGAATTTATATAGATGTGTAAAAAATTTATTAAGAAAACTTTAATAAAATCACATTATAAATGTAAATTAGTGCATGGCCCCAATACATTTTAATTAAAATTTTCTACTTGGTTCAGTATTTCTTTAATGTAAAGATTAAATGATTTGTTGTACATGAGAATGCAAGAATTCTGGCCACTGAATCCAGCTCAGAATATGCTCAAGTATTTTATCAAAATCGATTGGCATTTTCCATTGGGCTACGCCGAAATCGATTATGATTAAATGAATTATGAAAACGTTGAATAAAACAATGCAAAATCCATGCTTTTTGCCTAAGTCACGGCGAAAATCAACATGGTAAAGAAAAAATCTCATTTTTGCACTTTTTAAAAACATCCAACAAAAAAAGCATCATAAAGGGCTCCTAAAAAAATAAGCACCTTTAAGCACTTTTTAAAAAACATATGCACCCTGGATTAGATTTTAACTTATGCCTGTCACAATAAATGGACCAGACAGGGCAAAGCAAAGAATTAACAAGTACAGATGACATAGTCCAAATCCATATTGTAGCAACCATAACAATATGGATTAGGATTATGGGATCAATTGCTGAAGTATCCTTTATGGTTCAAAGAAGCAGCCTCAAATATAAAGCACACATAATTGAATAAAATTACAAATTTAAAGGAAGTGCATTAAGATTTTCTAAATTGACCTCAATTTTTTGACAGTTTTATCGAAATTGTGGTAAGAAAAAGTGAGAAAAATTAAATAAGTGTTTGAATGAGAACAATCATGAACTGAATTAAGTTGTAATCAAAAAGCGAAATCAAAGCATGCTCACCATTTCTTCTCAATAATGTTTTATGACTATTTTGCACACTTCACACAATCAAAATTGTGTGAAGAAATAGTGAGCAAAATTACATAAAAGGTTTGAATGAAAACAATCATCAACTGAATCAAGAAGCAAAATTTAAGCATGCACTGTTTGACAGTAAATCAGATGATCATTGAATTTTTTATATTCCACTCACTTCTTGGATTTTGACTCTAAGGCAGTTTCATCAGGTGAGAGGGGGGGAGGTGTGAGATGAGTGTTGACAGGCACGGGGCTGGAATCTATCTGGCAATAGGATTTCTTATGGATATCCTCGGAGGATTCACTGCTATCAATCCTATAGATTAGAATATATAATCAACTTATTAGTATATACGGTTGTTACGAATCTTATTTGAAAATAATAATGATATCGGTCGAAACAAAAAACTGTTGATGTCAATAATATTAAGAGAAAAAAGGTCAACTGATAAAAAAAGGTAGGCTTTGCAATGGTTCAAAATTTCACAAAAAAATTCGAATATTGTTAGTGAAATACATACAAGACTATTTTTAGAAGAAATTTAAAAGCTAAAAGAATAGTGCAATACACTGCCTTGAAAATTTTGTTATGTGCAACATGCTTCTTCCCCACAACATTGGTTTTTCTTTTTAATTTTAAAAATATGGCCAAAATATTAGCATTTTTACATAAAACATTAAATCACAAACAAGTTGATTAGAAATTATTTAAAAAAAAAGAAAAGAAAAAAACAGTGAGATATCAGGCATGCGCTACAAACGGAGAGGAATCTCCAAACCTGAATTGTCTCGACCTCAGAAATAAGATTCTTTAAAATAAATGTAAAAGAAAACTAATTCTGATCCAAATTGCACATAATCTTCACATAAATGAATAAATGCACACATAATAAATAAGAAACTATAGCGCAGCATAATCTGGAGGGAAAAAAGTCATTAAAATAATAACTAAGAAATTAATTTATTACTTAAAATAAAAGGACATTTAAAAGAACTTTCTACTTTGCAGTAAATGAAATGAAGAAATTTGAATAAAAACATTAAAAAAATTATTAGAACAATTTTTTATATTTCACTGCATCACATATTCAGTCGTGAACAATTTTGCTAAATATTCAGTTATGCCAATAGAATTCCTTCTGTTAATAGAATATTACATGGGTATATAGCAAAAGATTTAACACTAAAAAATTCAATTAAGAGTTCTGCATGAAAGTAGAAATGAAGTCCTATTTCAAATAAATACAGGCTCTAATAATATCTAAGAACCTTCAATCATTCCACAATTTTTCATTAGGCTTTATATAACTTGCCATAACCAAATTGAAATGCAAATGTATAATATAAGCAAGTATATAATACGAACAATAACTGGACTCAAGATGAATATAACTTGTCATAATTAAATTGAAATGCAAGTGTATAATAACAGTAAGCATATGCAAGTATATAATATAAAATATAGCTGGACTCATGAAGAATATAACTTGTCATAATTAAATTGAAACGTAAATGTATAAAATAAGCAAATATATGAAATTATATAACATAAACTGTAGCTGGAATGACGATGAATATAACTCGCCATAATAAATAGAAATGAAAATGTATAATATAAGCAAATATAAGCAAGTATATAATATAAACTATAATTAATGATGAATATAACTAGTCAAAATTAAATTTAAATGCAAGTGCATAATATATGCAAGTACATAAAACGAGATATAGCTGATTGCACAATTTGTCATAATTAAATGGAAATGCAAGTATATAATAAATGCAAAAATGTAATAAACTATAGCTGAACGATGAATATAACTTGTCATAATTAAATAGAAATGCAAGTGTATAATATAAGCAAATATATGCAAGTATATAATATAAACTAAAGCTGGTCTGACGATGAATATAACTCTCCATAAAAAATTTAAATACAAATGTGTATTATGAGCAAGTATATAATATAAACTATAGCAGGACTAATGATGAATATAACTTGTCATAATTAAATTTAAATGCAGGTGTACAATACATGCAAGTTCATAAAATAAACTATAGCTGGACTCTTAGATGAATATAACTAGCCATAATTAAATTGAAAAGAAAGTAAAAAATATTATCAGGAATATGAAAGTATATAATATAAACTGTATCTGGACTCCTGAAGAGTATAACTCCTCATAATTAAATTGAAATGCAAATGTATAATATAAGCAAAGATATGCAAGTATATAATACAAACTATAGCTGGACAGAGGATGAATATAACTCGCCATAATAAATAGAAATAAAAATGTATAATATAAGCAAGTATATAATATAAACTATAATAAAGATGAATATAACTTGTCATAATTAAATTTAAATGCAAGTGTATAATATATGCAAGTACATAAAACCAGCTATAGCTGATTGCAGAATTTGTCATAATTAAATGGAAATGCAAGTATATAATAAATGCAAGAATATAATAAACTATATAATATATACTATAGCTGAACTGACGATGAATATAACTCGCCATAATAAATTGAAATGCAAATGTATATTATAAGCTAGTATATAATATAAACTATAGCGGGACTAATGATGAATATAATTTGTCATAATTAAATTTAAATGCAAGCGTACAATACATGCAAATTCATAAAATGAACTATAGCTGGACTCTAGATGAATATAACTAGTCATAATTAAATTTAAAAGAAAGTAAAAAATATTATCAGGAATATGAAAGTATATAATATAAATTGTAGCTGGACTCCTGAAGAGTATAACTTCTCATAATTAAATTGAAATGCAAGTGTATAAAATAAGCAAGGATATAATATAAACTATAGCATAACAAATAATGTATAAAACTTGTCATAACCAAATTGAAATGCAACTTAATAATATAAGAAAATATATGCAAGTATATAATACAAACTAAATCTGGACACACGATGAATATAACTCGCCATGATAAATTGAAAAGTATAAATATATGCAAGTATATAATATAAACTTTAATTAATGATGAATATAACTTGTCAAAACTAAATTTAAATGCAAGTGTATAATATATGCAAGTACATAAAACGAGTTATAGCTGATTGCACAATTTGTCATAATTAAATAGAAATGCAAGTATATAATAAATGCAAAAATATAATAAACTATAGCTGAACAATGAATATAACTTGTTATAATTAAATAGAAACGCAAGTGCATAATATAAGCAAATATATGCAAGTGTATAATATAAGCAAATATATGCAAGTATATAATATAAACTAAAGCTGGACTGACGATGAATATAACTCGCCATAATAAATTAAATACAAATGTGCATTTTAAGCAAGTATATAATATAAACTATAATTAATGATGAATATAACTTGTCAAAATTAAATTTAAATGCAAGTGTATAATATATGCGAGTACATAAAATGGGCTATAGCTGATTGCACAATTTGTCATAATTAAATGGAAATGCAAGTATATAATAAATGCAAAAATATAATAAACTATAGCTGAACGATGAATATAACTTGTCATAATTAAATAGAAATGCATGTGTATAATATAAGCAAATATATGCAAGTATATAATATAAACTAAAGCTGGACTGACGATGAATATAACTCGCCATAATAAATTTAAATACAAATGTATATTATAAGCAAGTATATAATATAAATAATAGCGGGACAAATGATGAATATAACTTGTCATAATTAAATTTAAATGCAAGCGTACAATACATGCAAATTCATAAAAGAACTATAGCTGGACTCTTAGATGAATATAATTAGTCATAATTAAATTGAAAAGAAAGTAAAAAATATTATCAGGAATATGAAAGTATATAATATAAACTGTAGCTGGACTCCTGAAGAGTATAACTTCTCATAATTAAATTGAAATGCAAGTGTATAAAATAAGCAAGGATATAATATAAACTATAGCATAACAAATAATGTATAAAACTTGTCATAACCAAATTGAAATGCAAATTAATAATATAAGAAAATATATGCAAGTATATAATATAAACTAAATCTGGACACACGATGAATATAACTCGCCATGATAAATTGAAAAGTATAAATATATTCAATTATATAATATAAACTTTAATTAATGATGAATATAACTTGTCAAAACTAAATTTAAATGCAAGTGTATAATATATGCAAGTACATAAAACAAGTTATAGCTGATTGCACAATTTGTCATAATTAAATGGAAATGCAAGTATATAATAAATGCAAAAATATAATAAACTATAGCTGAACGATAAATATAACTTGTCATAATTAAATAGAAATGCAAGTGCATAATATAAGCAAATATATGCAAGTGTATAATATAAGCAAATATATGCAAGTATATAATATAAACTAAAGCTGGACTGACGATGAATATAACTCGCCATAATAAATTTAAATACAAATGTGCATTATAAGCAAGTATATAATATAAACTATAATTAATCATGAATATAACTTGTCAAAATTAAATTTAAATGCAAGTGTATAATATATGCGAGTACATAAAACGAGCTATAGCTGATTGCACAATTTTGTCATAATTAAATGTAAATGCAAGTATATAATAAATGCAAAAATATAATAAACTATAGCTGAACGATGAATATAACTTGTCATAATTAAATAGAAATGCATGTGTATAATATAAGCAAATATATGCAAGTATATAATATAAACTAAAGCTGGACTGACGATGAATATAACTCGCCATAATAAATTTAAATACAAATGTATATTATAAGCAAGTATATAATATAAACAATAGCGGGACAAATGATGAATATAACTTGTCATAATTAAATTTATATGCAAGTGTACAATACATGCAAGTTCATAAAATGAACTATAGCTGGACTCTTAGATGAATATGACCAGTCAATTAAATTGAAAAGAAAGTAAAAAATATTATCAAGCATATGAAAGTATATAATATAAACTGTAGCTGGACTCCTGAAGAGTATAACTCCTCATAATTAAATTGAAATGCAAGTGTATAAAATAAGCAAGGATATAATATAAACTATAGCTGAACTAATAATGTATAAAACTTGTCATAACCAAATTGACATGCCTATTAATCATATAAGCAAATATATGCAAGTATATAATATAAACTATATCTGGACACAATATGAATATAACTCGCCATGAAAATTGACACGCCAGTGTATAATATAAGCAAGTATATAATATAAACTATAGCTGGACATGCGATGAATATAACTTGTCATAACCAAATTGAAATGCAAGTGTATAATATAAGTAAGCATATGCAAGTATATAATATAAAATATAGCTGGACTCATGAAGAATATAACTTGTCATAATTAAATTGAAATGCAAATGTATAATATAAGCAAATATATGCAAGTATATAATATAAACTATAGCTGGACTGCAATGAATATAATTCGCCATAATAAATAGAAATGAAAATGTATAATATAAGCAAGTATATAATATAAACTATAATTAATGATGAATATTACTTGTCATAATTAAATTTAAATGCAAGTGCATAATATATGCAAGTACATAAAACGAACTATAGCTGATTGCACAATTTGTCATAATTAAATGGAAATGCAAGTATATAATAAATGCAAAAATATAATAAACTATAGCTGAACGATGAATATAACTTGTCATAATTAAATAGAAATGCAAGTGTATAATATAAGCAAATATATGCAAGTATATAATATAAACTATAG